TATTGACCAGTCAGGCTTTTATGCTTTCAGAATGTCAATTCCAACCTTTACATTTTTTTTTTAATTTTTTTTTTTAATTTTTTTTTCCAACGTTTTTTATTTATTTTTGGGACAGAGAGAGACAGAGCATGAACGGGGGAGGGGCAGAGAGAGAGGGAGACACAGAATCGGAAACAGGCTCCAGGCCCTGAGCCATCAGCCCAGAGCCTGATGCGGGGCTCGAACTCACGGACCGCGAGATCGTGACCTGGCTGAAGTCGGACGCTTAACCGACTGCGCTGCCCAGGCGCCCCAACCTTTACATTTTTTAATGAATTTCTGGTAGAAAAATAATTCCTAAGCCTTGCTTATAGTTTTGTTCACTTAATAAATATTTATTGCACACTTACTGTTTGAGGTGCTTGCCCTATAGAGTAAATCAACACTGATCCTTACCATCAACAAAATGTATATATATTATAGTGGAGGCAAAAAATATCTTTAATGTTACTTTATAATAACAGCAATTGCACCTCTTACTTATGGAAAAATTTTTGCACCTCATATGCTCTCATAATGTTCTGCTTTCAAAAGAAGTACCCACCTGCGGGTTATAACATTCTAAAATATTGCTGTTGGTGTCTTTTTCTTCATTTTCTTGTCTTAGCTTACACCTGCTAAACAATAATATTGTTTTGTGCCAGTACAGATACTTTTGAATTAGGGATGGCAAAATTTGAGTCCCTCAAATTTTGAGTCCCTCTTTGCTACCTCTAGAAAGGGAACTTCTCCTTTCTAGGGTCAGCCTGATGAGACCCTTGTAAGAATAATGATGGCATCTCATGTATTGCAGGCTTATATGTGCCTGGCCCTGTTTGACACTTTTTTGTCACTGCTACAAATTTTCACAATAACCCTGAAGATACTAAGGCTTACCTAGGTTAATTAAATTGCCCAAAATTCGGGGTGCCTGGGTGGCTCAGCCAATTAAGCACCCAACTCTTGCTTTCAGCTCAGGTCATGATCCCACGGTTCATGAATTCAAGCCCTCATCGGGCTCCGTGCTATCAGCATGAAGCTTGCTTGGAATTCTCTCTCTCTGCACCTCCCCTGCTCACTCTCTTTCTCAAAATAAATAAATAAACTTTAAAAAATTAAAAACAAAATTTCCCAAAGTTCCACAGCTTGGAGCTGGGCTTCTTATCTCAATCTGAACTAAAAATCTCTCCAGGAGAAAATGGAATTTATAATATGAGTTTAGAAGAAAAAAACATTTTTAAAGAATAAAGTCACACACATTCTGTGGAAATGAATTCATAAGGTCTGAATGAAAGGCAATGGCCTATAACAAATGTCAAGAACACTAACACCTTAATACGATCACATTGCCAATGTGGAATGGTAAGGGTCTAAATCTTTACACTTCTTTGCCAGAGGTTGGGGCTATTGTTTTTTGGGTTTTTATTTTTAAGTTTATTTTTTATTTTGAGAGAGAGAGGGAGGGGCAGGGACAGAGGAAGAGATAGAGAATCCCAAGCAGGCTCTCCACTGTCAGCATAGAGCCCAACATGGGGCTTGAACTCAAGAACCATGAGATCATGACCTGAGCTGAAACCAAGAGCCAGATGCTTAACGGACTGAGCCCCCAGGCACCGGGGGTCATTGTTAATGTTTCCACCTATAAAGACTAACTAGAGGGGCACCTGGGTGGCTCAGTTGGTTGAGCATCTGACTTCGGTTCACATCATGATCTCACAGTTCATGAGTTTGAGCCCCACTTCGGGCTCAGTGCTGTCAGTGCAGAGCCCACTTCAGATCCTCTGTCCCTCTCTCTGCTTCTCCCCCCGCTTGCATGCATGCCCCCACCCTCTCTCTTTCTCAAAAATAAATAAACATTAAAAAAAAAGACTAGGAAAAAGCAGCAGTATAATATTTATTGGAAAAAAACAAGAAACAAAAAACAAGCAAACAAACAAAAAAACCCTGAAGTTGATGATCTCCTCTTTTGGACATAATCTTGTCCTCAGGTGGTCCCTTTGCAATGGAACATAACTTTTTTTTTTTTTAACTTAAATTCAAGTTAGTTAACATATAGTGTAGTGTTATTTCAGGACTAGAATCCAGTGATTCATCACTTACATATAAAACCCAGTGCTCATCACAAGTGCCTTAATACCCATCACCCATTTAGCCCATCCCCCCACTTCTCGTACAGCAACCCTCAGGTTGTTCACTATATTTAAGGCTTTTATGTTTTGCATCCTTCTCTGTTTTTATCTTATTTTATTTTTCATTCCCTTCCCCTATGTTCATCTGCTTTGTTTTTTAAATTCCACATATGGGGGCGCCTGGGTGGCGCAGTTGGTTAAGCGTCCGACTTCAGCCAGGTCACGATCTCACGGTCCGTGAGTTTGAGCCCCGTGTCAGGCTCTGGGCTGATGGCTCAGAGCCTGGAGCCTGTTTCCGATTCTGTGTCTCCCTCTCTCTGTGCCCCTCCCCCGTTCATGCTCTGTCTCTCTCTGTCCCAAAAAAAATAAATAAATGTTGAAAAAAATTTTTTTAAAAAAATAAATTCCACATATGAATGAAATCGTATGATATTTGTCTTTCTCTGACTGACTTATGTCCCTTAGCATAATACATTCTAGTTCCACCCATATTGTTGCAAATGGCAACATTATAACTCATATACAGAGGAAAAGAAGCAGGCAATGGGAGAGAAATCAAAATTGTTGATAATTCTGTGGTGGTAAAACACAGGCTATATATTATCATGGTCCTGTGAACTTGTGGATAGAGTTTCCTCAACAAAATCTCCCACCACAGCCCCATTTCGGACACATCATTAGGAAACTGATTTAGCTAAAATCATAATCTTTTGGACCAAATGCTCTTCATTTAGAATGTTACAAGTGCTCATGTTCATGATACTTGGCAAATGGACTTAGCATGGAACATTGTTAAAAAGTGATTATCCCAAATTCTAGCAATCTCAACAAATGTATATGCTTATATGTACACACTTCTTTGCAGCTATAATATTTTATATACATTTAAAAAATTTTTAATGTTTATTTTTGGAGAGAGAGAGATGGAGAGTGAGCAGGGGAAGGGGCAGAGAGAGAGGGAGACACAGAATCGAAGCAGGTTCCAGACTCCGAGCTGTCAGCACAGAGCGTGACGTGGGGCTCAAACCCACAAACCGTGAGATCACAACCTGAGCCGAAGTTGGACACTTAACCAACTGAGCCACCCAGGCACCCCTATTTTGTATACATGAAAAAAAAATTTTTTTTTTAATCTTTATTTATTTTTGAGAGAGAGCATGTGAGCAGGGAAGGAGCAGAGAGGGAGGGAGACACAGAAGCAGAAGCAGAAGCAGGCTCCAGGCTCTGAGCTGTCAGCACAGAGCCTGTCGTGGGGCTTGACCTCACAAGCCGTGAGACCATGACCTGAGCCGAAGTCAGATGCTCAACCGACTGAGCCACCTAGGTGCCCCTATACGTTTTTAATCTTATCTTCCCAGTGATGTGGGAGGGGAAGTCCTATCTTACAGTTTGAGGCTCTGAATACATGGAGTGTCCTAACTACTGTTTCTTGCTCTTCCAGGGATCGTTATAGAAAGCTATATGCACTTTTCAGAGAAATGGTTGTTTGTGTTTCCTATTCAAAGCACTATGCTTCAATGGCTTACTAGGTCAAGAATATGTAAAAACATTAATCAAAAAGGGGCGCCTTGGTGGCTCAGTCAGTTAAGCGTCCAACTTTGGCTCAGGTCATTATCTCAAGGTTTATGAGTTCAAGCCCCTCATCGGGCTCTACACTCACAGTGCAGGGCCTGCTTGGGATTCTGTCTCTCTCCCTCTCTCTCTGCCCCTCCCCTCGCTCAGAATAAATAAATAAAACTTTAGAAAAAGACGTTAATCAAGGAATTTACAATAAGTATTTCAGAATCAACAGCATGCTTATTGAATTGACAGCTTGAAAGAACAAAATCCACCAGCACCAAGTATAATACATAAGACTAGCTCATTTCTAGTCTAGGTAACCTAATATTTAATACTGAATAAACCCACCAATTTTGTCCTAATGTGAAACAGAATTCATTAAATAAGCAGAAGAGAGTCCTTGCCTGGAAATTTCCAGGCTGTTGCTGTAGTAAATCACTACAGAAAGCACTTGTTTTCCAAAAACAGCTTTAAAACTGATTTTAATGATTAGCTACATAAAATTAAACACTAAGAATATTTTCATTGTTTAAAAGACAAAGCCTTGAGGTTACTTTTTATTCACTCTGAAGCAATTCATTTTCCGATCTACTCCTTTGCTGGAGTTTAAGACAGTATTGTTTACTATGTCATTGAGAGAAAAACCACTTTCAAAACTTTTATTGTAAGTGTGATTTTTGAAGTATTATGAGGCCTTCAGGCAAAAGAGAAGCAAAGGGAAAGCTGCACTTACAGTATTTAAAAACATACTTGGTTAGGGGCACCTGGGTGGCTCAGTCATTTAGGCATCGGACTGCAGCTCAGGTCATGATCTCGTGGTCCTGAGTTCAAGCCCTGCGTTTGGTTCTGTGCTGTCAGCAACCTGGAGCCTGCTTCAGGTTCTGTGTCTCCCTCTCTGTCTCTGTCCCTTCCCCACTTGCTCTCTCTCTCTCTCTCTCTCTCTCAAAAACAAATAAACATAAATTTAAAACAATTTTTCAACATTTGGCTATGTAGCAGAGTGATCTAGAAGACTATTTTTTTTAAAAAAAAATTTTTTTTTAACGTTTATTTATTTTTTTGGGACAGAGAGAGACAGAGCATGAACGGGGGAGGGGCAGAGAGAGAGGGAGACACAGAATCAGAAACAGGCTCCAGGCTCTGAGCCATCAGCCCAGAGCCCGACGCGGGGCTCGAACTCACGGACCGGGAGATCGTGACCTGGCTGAAGTCGGACGCTTAACCGACTGCGCCACCCAGGCGCCCCTAGAAGACTATTTTTTAAGTAATGGATTTTGTTTTGGTTTCTGGCAGAGTATCCACAGATGACAGTGTAACTCAACAAATAAACTGGCAGATTTGGACTACTGGGGAAATGCATCTTTCCATTCCAGAATGTCTTCTCAAGCAGCAAGAATTGGGCCAGGGCTGTAAGACAGTGCTACCACACGGAGTCAGTGCTGTGCTCCGTGTCCTGTAATAAGCAGCCGAGTGCCCAGCTGGTGTTCCTCTCGCACTCTGGGCTTATCTCAACCATGGACTTAACTCGTTGTACCACACCTTCTGGTCTGCCTCCTGCACTAATGCCATGTGAGTTCCCAAGGGCAGAATGCATCATGCCTTACAACTCTGTATCTCAGGTCCCAGCTCAGTGCTAACACCTGGTAGATACTCCACAAATGTTTGCAGACAGAAGAATGCAAAGCATGCTTAACTGTCCAAATAGAAGGAATAGCCGCTGTTTTCTATAATATACTATAATTTCATTGTCACTTTTTTGTGAAAAGTGTGGACTTTGTTGCACTTTTAATAGAAGCTACATGCATAAAATAAGAGAATCGGTTTCTAATATTATCACATGAAGTACCTTATACCCTATAATTAGGAGATATTACACATTGGTTTTTTTGCCCAAGTACCCCATTTATGAATCTCCATTAACACTAAACTGATCATTATACTTACAGGCTACTGAGTAGTATATCCATAGGTCAATAAGAAGAAAATAGATCTATCAAACTTGATGAAATAACATGCCCCTTAGAACCAACATTTCTCTAACTATATCAAGAAATCACAGACCATCTTTCAAAAATGGCAGGGGCAAGAATAATACCCTTGAACCATACAGTTCTGCACACTGTAACAGTAAAATATTAATCAGGTATTAGAAGACTCCCTTACAAGCATGAAATTTATTTCAAATAGACATTTGCGAAATTCATTCTACGTGAATCTCCAAGCACTCTCTGATCACCTAACCATATCCTGTTCAGTGTGCAGTTGGCCTCTGGACTTCAGTCAGACACTTTCAGATTGGCATTAGCTGCGTAAGGCCACCAGATGCCAAATGTTACGTTATCACACAAAGATAAATGATCTTTAAGTGCCCTAAATAAGTTTATACCTCTAAAAATGCTTACTGGACCATGAGACTAGTTTGCCAGCGTGTCTGATTGTCAATGTATCTATGCCCAAATCGACAAGAATTAGTCTCTAGAGCCTCTGTTTCCAAGGAAGTAAATCTCTAGGTTCTCCACATTGGCTGCCCAATAGAATAAGCTAGTGACCTTTAAAAAATACTGATGGGGGCACCTGGGTGGCTCAGTCAGTTCAGTGTCCCACTTCGGCTCAGGTCACGATCTCATGGATGGTGAGTTCAAGCCCCATTTCGGGCTCTGTGCTAACAGCTCAGAGCCTGCAGCCTGCTTCAGATTCTGTGTCTCCCTCTCTCTCTGTCCCTCCCCCACTTGCACTCTGTCTCTCTGTCTCTCAAAAATAAACATTTTTTAAAATGTAATAAATAGGGGCGCCTGGGTGGCGCAGTCAGTTAAGCGTCCGACTTCAGCCAGGTCACGATCTCGCGGTCCGGGAGTTCGAGCCCCGCGTCAGGCTCTGGGCTGATGGCTCAGAGCCTGGAGCCTGTTTCCGATTCTGTGTCTCCCTCTCTCTCTGCCCCTCCCCCGTTCATGCTCTGTCTCTCTCTGTCCCAAAAATAAATAAACGTTGAAAAAAAAAATTTTTTTTAAATGTAATAAATAAATAAATAAATAAATAAATAAATAAATAAATAAATAAAACTGATGCCTGGACCTCACCCCCAGAGATTCCGATTTAACAGGTCTAGGGTATGGCCTGGACATCAGAACTTTTTCAAGCCCGAAGTGATTCTAATGCTCAACAGGGTTGAGGAACATTACTTTAGGGCCTCTATTCTCCAGGAAAATTTAGAGACAGGTTAAATGCACCCCTTCTTCCTGCATTGCTCTTACATCTATCAACAAATGAACTTTGAGTTCTTTCTACCCCAGATTCTGTTCCTCTTCCCTTTCAACCACCATGGTTTTCTTCCACAACATTGCTTGAGATTTTTGATGTTAACCTGGATTTCAAGCAACTTCCCCAGTGCAGGTGGAAAACATTCACTTAGTAGATGTAGAAGCTGAGATTAAGAGAGAGTTCCTTCAAATTCTATAGAAGAAATGCCATCCAGAACAGTCCACATTCAATTCCTGTATATACTCAACTCATTTCTCAACACACAATCACCCAGTTGTGAGTCATGCCTCTATAACAAGTGTCACCAAGTGCTGTTGATTCTAATTCCTCAATCCCTTTCATGTAAATCACTTCCTTGCCTTCCATGTTACATTGCTTTAGTCCAGGCCCACACCAGCATTTCTCATATAAAAGCAGTTCATCGGCCTTCAAACTGTTCTTTGCAATTCTGCTAACCTCCCTTCGAACCATTATGTACACTTCAGGGTGATGTTTTCAAAAGCAAATCTGATATTATGACTCCTTGGCTTAATAATAATAATATTCCATTCCTTTTAAGATCAAATCCACACTTCTCAAGCCTTTCTAAACTCTTTGCGGTTCCTCCAGCCATGTCACATGATCTCATGCCTCTCTGTACTTGCAGACTCCTTTTACATTGTCAAAATTCATCTGAGAGATCGCTTCTTTGCTACCCAGTCTGAACTGCATGCTTAGCTAGGTGTACTCACACAGCATACTTACATCAATCAATAATACCTAACACGTAGCCTTGTGATTTTCACTGTAATTGACGTTGAGCTTATTCAGGGAGGGGGCTTCATCTTTCGTCTTTTTGTGCTTTAGGGCTTATATATAACCTGATTTATAGTGTTTGGTAAATGTTTGTTGAACGAATACGCTGTCATTTTACATGTCCGTGCTTTGCACGTACCATTACTCTTCCCTCGCTACCTCCAATCTCTGTTTACACTATTAACACCTCCATTGAAACCCAGCTGAAGCAGCTTTTCCTCTGTGCTACCTTCCTGGACTTGGTTTCCAAGGCAGTGTCGATCATACCCACCTTTTAGTCACCATTATATCTTGTATATACTTCTAACTATAGTAACTACCACTCTGTGCTGAAATTATCCTCATGTCTCCCTGACTAGATTGTAGGCTCCTTAGTGGCAGCAACCTGTTTCATTTACTTTTGTATCCAAAGCACTTGGTACACAATAGGCAACAAGTAACAAAGTTACCATTTTTGTCCCTCTCGAATCCTTGTTTTACACAACTGCCAGAATGTTCTCAACAAAATTCAGATTATGTCTGTCCCAGCTTAAAAACTTCCAATGATTTCCTTTATCTATAGCAGTCTTTCTCAAAGGACAGTATCTGTATTCCTGGTAGTACATATGACAATTTTCAGATGTTACACAATTGTTCTTTTTATTCTAATGGTTAAGTGTTTTGTGTTAGCAAAGAATGAAACCCATGAAATGAATTATTTTGTGTCTAACTTGTTTAAGGCATGTAAGATTTTTTTTTTAAATTTTTTTTCAACGTTTATTTATTTTTGGGACAGAGACAGAGCATGAACGGGGGAGGGGCAGAGAGAGAGGGAGACACAGAATCGGAAACAGGCTCCAGGTTCTGAGCCATCAGCCCAGAGCCCGACGCGGGGCTCGAACTCACGGACCGCGAGATCGTGACCTGGCTGAAGTCGGACGCTTAACCGACTGCGCCACCCAGGCGCCCCAGGATTTTTTTATGTTCATAATTAAAGAAAAATATTTAGCAAATAATAGTACAGAGAGTAATCATACAACAAAAGACAAAAAAGTCATCATATTTGGGAAACCCAGATGTATAAGATTAAGAACATCTAAATCTAGCATACAGATCCTTTAGTCAGCCCCTGATTTCCTTTCCAGCCTCACCTCCCTCCAGCTGCCATCAGTGTGACATACCGTATGTTACGGAATACAGGTTTCCATGTCTTTCTCCTTTCCCCCATCCAGCCTATTTTCAACACAGTAGCCAGAGGGATGCTGTTTAGGTCGTTACTCAGATCAAACCTCTCCAGTCAGAATGCTTTTATTTCTAAGAGATATATACTAAACTAGAAGAGATATATAAATTATAAGATGTACGAAGTGCCACTATCTGAAACTTAACCTTAAAATAGAGAACAAAACACACACATGCACATAGATACAGATAAAGCGGATAAAGATAAAGTGCGTTTGAGATTTTTCATAATAAAAAGTTGTGAGGGGGCACCTGAGTGGCTCAGTCGGTTGAGTGGCCAACTCTTGATTTCAGCTTAGGTCAGGATCTCATGGTTCAGGGGACTGAGCCCCATGTTAGGCTCTGTGCTGGCAGCACAAAGCCTTGCTTGGGATTCTCTCTCCCTCTCTCTCTGCCCCTCCCTTGCTCTCTCTCTCTCAAAATAAATAAATAAAACTTTTAAAAAATATACGTGATAAAACAAATATAGGTACAAATAAATAGTGAATCTAGCTGGTGAATATATGAATCTTCCCTATACATCTTTTTCAACTTTTTTTGTATATTTGAAAATTAAAGTGTTCATAATAAAATGGGGGGGTGTAAGAAAAACTTTAATACTTTTTTTTAATGTTTATTTATTTTTGAGAGAGAGACAGACAGGCAGAGCATGAGTGGGGGAGGGACAGAGAGAGAAGGAGACACAGAATCTGAAGCAGGCTCCAGGCTCCAAGCTGTCAGCACAGAGCCCAACGTGGGGTTTAAACTCATGAACCGTGAGATCATGTCCTGAGCCAAAGTCGGACATTCAACTGACTGAGGCACCCAGACGCCCCTATAAGAAAAACTTTAAAAAATAAATCCTATGGATGCCTGGGTGGCTCAGTCAGTTAAGCATCTGACTCTTGGTTTTGGTTCAGGTCATGATCTCACAGTTCGTGACTTTCAGCTCCACCTTGGGCTGTGCACTGACAGTGCGGAGCCTGCTTTGGATTTCTCTCTCCTTCTCTCTCTGACCCTCCTTGGCTTGCTCTCTCTCTCTCTCTCTCTCTCTCTCTTAAAAAAATAAGTAAACATTAAAAAAAAATCCTTGGGGGTCCCTGGGTGGCTCTGTCAGTTGAGCATCCAACTGTTGATTTGGGCTCAGGTCACGCATGATCTAGCGGTGATGGGATCGAGCCCCGCATCAGGCTCTGCACTGACAGCACGAAGTCTGCTTGGGATTTTATCTCTCTCTCTCTCTGTCTGACCCTCCCTCACTTGCACACATGCACACATGTGCACACAGTCTCTCTCTCTCAAAATAAATAAATAAATAAACTTTAAAAAATATGTTTTGGGGGGCGCCTGGGTGGCGCAGTCGGTTAAGCGTCCGACTTCAGCCAGGTCACGATCTCGCGGTCCGTGAGTTCGAGCCCCGCGTGGGGCTCTGGGCTGATGGCTCAGAGCCTGGGGCCTGTTTCGGATTCTGTGTCTCCCTCTCTCTCTGCCCCTCCCC